ATTGTGGAATATTTTAGTTGCAACTACTAAATTAAAATTAATTACACGCAATTGCAAAATTAACGAAGAAACAATCAATTCTACATTATTAAGAATCCCTAGAAAAATAAGCACTGGTTTAAACGTCCTCCCTTGTATCAACAAAGACTTTGTATCACGATATCGAAATGTTTAAAATATATAGATAGATCTGTTCAAATTTAAGTCCATTATAGTTTCCTAGCTGCTTCAAATTTAGGTTGAATTGAAAGCCTCTGAATAAACAAATTTACTGAACATGGGTGATGCCTTTTAAAACTGAGCGCCGTTTCTACCTGACTATCTAGCAGTCGGAGCTGTAATCATTCAATTATTTAATTAACCATTTATTTTACAATAAAAAGAAAACCTGGAAATTGTCCTCGTTCAACTTTCGTTCCATTACTACTGAAACGACTGTTTTCAAAATCAAATTTAACCCCTGAAGAAACAACAGAATGTTGACCATTTTGACCGAAACAAGAGTTGGCAGAGCCAGAAATGGAAGCGTCCACATGGTATGCGACACCTCTCTTTATGGCAACCGGACTGTCGAAGAAAACATCGAAACCGTAGTAAGAAACTGGAACTGATTTTATACACTTTGGAAAAAAATTTCCTCTTGTGGTACAGACATGTTTTACGCCCATTCTATCCCCACGTTCTAAATGTAGAGCAACAGAATATTCACAATTTCTGCTTCCGCAGAGTGTTACTCCAAGTAAGGANATTGTGGAATATTTTAGTTGCAACTACTAAATTAAAATTAATTACACGCAATTGCAAAATTAACGAAGAAACAATCAATTCTACATTATTAAGAATCCCTAGAAAAATAAGCACTGGTTTAAACGTCCTCCCTTGTATCAACAAAGACTTTGTATCACGATATCGAAATGTTTAAAATATATAGATAGATCTGTTCAAATTTAAGTCCATTATAGTTTCCTAGCTGCTTCAAATTTAAGTTGAATTGAAAGCCTCTGAATAAACAAATTTACTGAACATGGGTGATGCTTTTTAAAACTGAGCGCCGTTTCTACCTGACTATCTAGCAGTCGGAGCTGTAATCGTTCAATTATTTAATTAACCATTTATTTTACAATAAAAAGAAAACCTGGAAATTGCCCTCGTTCAACTTTAGTTCCATTACTACTGAAACCACTGTTTTCAAAATCAAATTGAACACCAGAACAAACAACAGAATGTTGACCATTTTGACCAAAACAAGAGTTGGCAGAGCCAGAAATGGAAGCGTCCACATGGTATGCGACACCTCTCTTTATGACAACCGGACTGTCGAAGAAAATATCGAAACCGTAGTAAGAAACTGGAACTGATTTTATACACTTTGAAAAAAAATTTCCTCTTGTGGTACAGACATGTTTTACGCCCATTCTATCCCCACGTTCTAAATGTAGAGCAACAGAATATTCACAATTTCTGCTTCCGCAGAGTGTTACTCCAAGTAAGGAGATGTCTTTGTCGACCACAAAAAAAAGACAGTCTTTTCTACCAGGTGAATAAGGATAACCTGAGCCAGTGTGAACAACGGAANTCTGCTTCCGCAGAGTGTTACTCCAAGTAAGGAGATGTCTTTGTCGACCACAAAAAAAAGACAGTCTTTTCTACCAGGTGAATAAGGATAACCTGAGCCAGTGTGAACAACGGAACCAAATCTGCAACAACGCTGGAACGATTCCAAACCAGTTCGTTCAGCCTCTGGAAATACTACTTGGGTGTCTGGAACTGAATGCCAATATTTAACTACGCTAGAAGTCTCGTCCTGTGTCAGTATCTTGCAGTCAAGAACAACAGCAGCAAATTCATATTGGGTCATCACTGGAAAACGTATTTCTTTCACAATCGGTTCTCCGAGAACTCTTCTTTTTACACCTCCATCTGTCGATAAGCCTTGTTCTTCGCATCTCTTTGTCGCCCACAAATTCACCGCTTTGAACAACTCTAACTCTTGAATATTCAAAGTGTCGCGCGCGACTACCGTTTCAAGTAAGGACCTCTCAATTGTCGCAAATCCATCTGATTTCGGAGCCTCTTCTGTCTGTTCATCGATTACCTTCCAGCATTGATCCACCAGTTTTTCTTCTTCATATTTCTGTGCTTGTGGCAAGATGTCGAAAACATTCGATGGATCTAAGTTATCCTGCAGATATT